CCAAGCCGGAGCGCGGAGATGCTGCCGCCCGCGGAGCCCGGCGAGGCGCTCTCCTGGCTGGAGGCTGCGCTGGCCGCCGCCGTGGCGCTGGGGCTCCTGCTGGCCCTGGCCCGGCACCTGTGGGCGCTCCGCTGGAGCTGGAGCCGGGACCGCGCCAGCGCCCTGCCCCTGCCCAAGGGCTCCATGGGGTGGCCCTTCTTCGGCGAGACTCTGCACTGGCTGGTCCAGGGGGGCCCCCGGGCCGGGGGGGGGCGTGCGGAGGGGGCGCGGGGAGAGGCGCCCTCGGTCCGGGAGAAGCCCCGGGAGGCTTGTGGGCTCTAGGCCGGAGACCGGCACTCTGCCCGTGCTTAGAGGACCCCGCGCCTGGGAGCCTGGCTGCAGCTGCGCTTCTGCTTTCCTCTCCGTCCGTCTCCAGTGCACGACCCCCCGGCAAAGGCGACGAGGGAGTGGGTCTCCTCCGTTTCCCGGCAGCCTGTCTGCATCTGGGCAGACGGTGGGGGTAGGGGAGGGAAAGGGGCAAGTTCAGGGGCTCTGCGCCTGGATGAAGGGAGACAGCCAGTGTGGCTGGAGCGGTTGAGAGCCTCGGACCCGGGTTCGAATCCCGACTCGTGCCACGGAAGCTGGCCGGGTGACCTTCGGCCGCCGGTCACACTCTCTCAGCCTAACCGACCTCACAGGGTTGATGTGAGGATAAAACGGAGGAGAGTCGAACGATGGAAGCCGCTTTGGGTCCCCTTTGGGGAGAAAGGCGGAGGGGTACAAATGAATGAGATAAACTAATGAAAAGCATCCCAGGTCCTTCCCCTGCATCAGTCCCCGGTCCAGCGGTTCCTCGTTCGTCCTGAGGAACAGGCGCTCTGCCTCTGCTCAGAGGCCATCTCGTTCTGACCGTGATCTCCGAGCCTTGGAAACAGAATCTGTTCTGCGGCTTCAGGTTCAGGACGGGAAAGGCACTCTGCACTTTACTTAGATAAAGCTTAGCCCTTTGGTTCACAGTCTTATCTTGAGTTGAGTTTCTCCCCCCCCTTCCCCCCCCCCCGCAGGGTTCCAGCTTCCACAGCGCCCGGCGGCAGAAGTACGGCGCCGTGTTCAAGACTCACCTGCTGGGCAAGCCGGTGATCCGCGTGAGCGGCGCCGACCAGGTGCGCAAGATCCTGCTGAGCGAGCACAGCCTGGTGGGCGTCCAGTGGCCGCTCAGCACCCAGATCCTGCTGGGCTCGCACACCCTCCTCAACGCCAGCGCCGAGACCCACCGGCAGCGCAGGAAGGTAGGAGCCGCCGCCGCCAGGGAAGGGCCGCCCCGGGGCCCGCGCGCCTGTTTATGTGTGTGTTGGGGGGGGGGGGGGGGTGTGAAGATCGCGCCGCTCCTCCTTACCCGGGCCAGGAGGGCTTCTGTGAAGCCAGCAATGAAACGCAGCCCCCCTCCTGCAAGCACAGGCTGGCGGCTAAACCTGTCCGGTACAGTCCTGCGAAAGCTGGGACTCTACCACTTCCCCATCTCCGGAGACGCTCAGGACGCAGCAACGTAGCATGACAGGAGCTACTTCTCCCCGGTGGAGCCGAAAACCCTAGACAGCCATGTCGGCCCGCAGGAAAGATACAAAACCAGCAGAAGTGGAATATCTTCCTACGGGGATCAGCCAGAATAACACCAGATAGCGCCAGCTTCCCCAGTGCCTCACAACTCTTGGTCAGGCCAGATGTCCAAGGCAAACAAGGGGGGGGGGAGTGGGTAGGGGAAAAGAGTGACGGGAAGGTCCGAAGTCTGCCGTCTGAATACGGGCCTGTGAAGTGTCCAGTCGCAGGCTCCTCTGCATCGGGAGCCTGGTGGCCTGCCCGGATGGTCTCTCCCGTCCACGTACTGAGAAGATCGGGCTAGCCTGCCTGGGCACTGGGAGCCGAGAGAGCCACCCCGAGCCAGGTGGGCCCTTCCCAAGAAGCACCAGTGGGACTTCGATGAACTTGGAAGGGTGCGACTCTGCCGGCAACTACGGTGGGTGGGGGGACAGCCCTAAACGGCTCGACTTAGGATGCTGCGGGAGTCTAACCCGCGGGATTCACTCCTAGGAAAGTGGGCCCTTCATTAGATGAGGCGGGGCTGCCAGAGGCCTCCAGAAAGCGCCGGGATAGAGAAGGAGGTGGGGTGGGGGGGAGACCTCTTCGAAATCGTAAAGGCCGGCCGGGAATTAGCTGCCTGGCTGGTCTCCACCCTCCTCTCTCCGGCCTGGGGCGAGGAGCCTGAAAGCGGGTCCCTGCTATTTTGTGATCTTGTGCTGGGTCCTTAGGAACGGTACTCATTGGTTCTTCGAAATCGTAAAGGCCGGCCGGGAATTAGCTGCCTGGCTGGTCTCCACCCTCCTCTCTCCGGCCTGGGGCGAGGAGCCTGAAAGCGGGTCCCTGCTATTTTGTGATCTTGTGCTGGGTCCTTAGGAACGGTACTCATTGGGGGGGGGGGAA